TGTCTTCATCAGATCTCGGACATTGCTTCTGGTTCAGCTTTATGTGTCCAGCTAAGGGGGTGCTCACTGTTTTGGCTTTGTCCATGCCGAATCTCTTCAGAATCTTCTCAATATACTTCTCTTGACTTAGCCACAGTAGCTTCTTTTATCTATCTCGGATAATCTTGATTCTGAGAATCTTCTTTGCAGGACCGAGGTCCTTCATTGCGAAGGACGAGCTCAACGCCTTTTCTGGGCGGCTATCCTCGATTTGTCTTTCCCTACAATAAACATCTCGTCAACATATAACAACAAAATCAAAAAATCTCCGGCCTAATACCTCTTCACAAATACGCAGTGGTTGGCTTCTGTCTTCTCAAACTTGTGATCAATCATGAATGATTCAAATTTCTTGTACCACAACCGAGGTGCTTGCTTCAAGCCATAGAGACTCTTCTTCAACCGACATACCAAGTTTTCTTGGTCTGGAGCTCGAAACCCCTCAGGTTGCTCCATATATATCTCTTCTTCTAAATCGACGTCAAAAAATGTCGTCTTCACATCCATTTGTTCTACCTCGAGGTCCATCGAAGCCGCCATGGCTAACACAGTTCGGACCGAGGTCATTTTCACCACAAGAGAAAAAATCTCTTCAAAGTCTACTCCTTTCTTCTGATTGCAGCCTTTCACTACAATCCGGGCTTTGTATCTCGGCTTCTTCCCGTTCTGTTCATTCTTAATCTTGTAGACCCATTTATTTTTCAGAGCACGTCTTCCTTCAGGAAACTCGGTCAGCTCATAAGTCTGATTCTCATGTAGAGACTTCATCTCGTCTTGCATTGCCTTTTGTCATTCTTCTTTCTCTGAGCTCTTCACAGCCTCATCATAACTCTGAAGCTCACCGTCTTCAACAACAACAGTGTATTCATCAGATGGGTATCTTGTAGAGGGTCTTCTTTCTCGAGTTGGAAATCTCGGCTGTTGTTCAACTTGAGAATCCGGTTCATCATTCTCATCCCGGATCTCATCATCAACTCGGACCTCATCATCAGCTTGTTGCTGGTCATCATTTTCTTCATTTTCTCCTTGTGCTTCAGCTTGGACAAGAGGGATGGGTTCTTCACGTCTGACAGTAACCCGGACTTTGGGCTTCGAGATGTCATGAATGGTCTCATCTTCATGAAAGATCACATCTCGGCTTCTCACTATCTTCTTATTGATTGGATCCCAAAGACGGAACCCGAACTCAGATCTCGACGAACCAAGATAGATGCATTCTTTTGTCTTCGCATCAAGTTTTTCCTTTTCATCATTAGGGATATGCACGAAAGCTCAGCATCCAAACACTTTTAGTTTATTATAGGCCGCTTTCCGACTTGTCTAGACTTCTTCTGGAATTTCTCCTTCAAGTGGCTGTGATGGTGAGAGGTTGATCAAGTCAACAGCAGTTCTGACGGCTTCTCCCCAGAATAATTTTAGTAACCCGGCATTGGATAACATGCTTCGTACCTTCTCTTCAATTGTTCGGTTCATCTTCTCAGCCAGTCCATTCAACTGTGGGGTCTTAGGGGGCATCTTCTCAAGTCGAATCCCGGCCACTTTGCAGTATGCATCAAATGGGTCGCAGTACTCACCACCGTTATCAGATCGCACCATCTTCAATTTCTTGCCAGTCTCCCTTTCAACCATTGCGTGGAATTCTTTAAATGATTGGAGTACCTGGTCTTTAGACTTCAACAAATATACCCACACCTTGCGGGAATGGTCATCAATAAATGAAACAAAATACTGAGTTCCTCCTAGAGATCTCTCCGACATGGAGCAAACATCAGTATGGACGAGGTAAAGAATATACCTTCGTCTTCTGGGTTGATCCGGTCTCTCAAATGAAACCTGGTGCTGCTTTCTAGCTAGGCAGTGCGTGCAACTCTCCAACGCTTGGCCTTTCAACTCGGTCAGTAATCCTTTCTTGTTCAGGATTTGGAGCCCTTTCTTGATCATGTGGCCGAGGCGCTTGTGCCATAGCTCCAAGCTAGGTTCATCTCGGACAGAATTGGCTTCTCCGCCATTGATCTTTCCTTGCATCACGTACAAGGAGTCTTTCTTCTTACCTCGGGCCACGACCAAATTTCCCTTGGCCAGCTTCCATCTAATACTACCGAAGTAGTTCACTAACCCGGCATCGTCAAGCTTGCCTACCGAGATTATGCTCAATCGCATGTCAGGAACATGCCTTACATCTTTCAACACAAGTCGGCACCCAACGTCCGTGGTCAGGGTCACATCACTGACACCAATAATCTTACTGGTCACTTGATTTCCTATCTTTACGACTCCAAAATCACCACCTCGGTAAAAGGAGAAAAAACCTTTGTGTGGAGTAACGTGGAAGGAGGAACCGGAGTCAACAATCCAGGTGCAGTCATCATATGCAATATTCAAATAATTATCCTCACCAAGGAGGAATATCTCGGCATCCGAGTTGGCAGCCACCGCAGTAGTGCTCTTGTCTTCCCTCTTCTTGGGAATAATCTGATCCAGCTTCACAGAGTCGTTCTTCTCATCATTCTGCAAAGTCCAGCATTCTGGCTTCTTATGACCTGTCTTTCCACAGTAAAAGCACTTCAACTCATATCTCGGCTTTGACCGACCTCTGGACTTTTCTCGCCTGTCACGACCTCGACCCCGGCTCTTGCTTCTACCCCGGGAGTCGGATTTCCCTTTGTTCTCAGCAACATTGGCCTCAAACATGCTCTAAATACCTCATTCTCTTCTCCTGGCTTCTTCGCCCAGGAGGCTGTCTGTCACGACATCCATCTTCAATTTTCCATCTGGAGTCGAATTATTCAAGGTCACCACCTGAGTATCCCATCTTTCTGGCAGCGAGATCAACAGCAGCAAGGTCTGCATCTCGTCATCAATTTTCATCTCAGCCTTTGACAGCTGATTCACAATACCTTTGTAGGTGTTGAGGTGTTCAATCATACTCATGTTGTCCTTGTATTCAAGCTTCACAAGTCGGCGAACCAGGTGTGCTTTGTTCCTGGGAGTCTTCTTTTGAATCATGGATTCCAACTTCGTCCACAACTTATACGCGTTCGTGAACCCGGACACGTGCTCAAAGAGGCTCTTGTCAATATATTTTTTGATCGTATCTACCGCCTTACGACTCTGAATCTCCCACTCCTTATCAGTATTGCTTGCCGGTTTCTCATCAAGGATAATGGGCTCATGTAAATCTTTGCAATAGAGATGACCTTCCATCATCGGTCTCCAATAGGTGAAATTATCTGCGGTCAGCTTGAACATATCTCCATCATGGGTTATGCCATTGGTCTCCATCTCGTCTCCCTCAGAACCCGTCGAACTCAGGCTCTGATACCACTATTGGGAACTCAGTTCCCTCAAGCTCGGCTAACCAGCCTTTTCGCGAAAGTCAATCAACAAGATCCTGGATCTCGGCAATTACCTCGGCCTGAACTTCACCAGGTCGGGCAGCGCAGCGGAAAATCGAAAAACAAACAGGAGAGAGAGAGAGAGAGGAGAACACAAACAGATTTTAACGTGGAAAAACCTTCTCCAATAAAGAAGTAAAAATCTACGGGACCTAGTCCAGATCAAAAATTCACTATGAAAATAATGGTTACAAAGAATCAAGATTCACCAATGTGGTGGTTAACATAACCTCTCCAACAATGGTGATAGTCAAACTCCCCTAGAGATGTTTCACTCAAACTCTCTCTAGAGATCTCTCAAATACAAAGTATAAAGCTTTGCTCAAACAATTTTCTCTCAAATTTCTAATATCTCTCTTAACCTAGCCTCCTCCCACAACTAATGAATATATATAGGAGGTGATATCTAGGGTTTAGGGTTTTTTAGGAAATCCCTTAATGGGTTTGGGCTTAGCATTGAAGGAGGAAGTCCAACAAATATATCTTTTTAACTTAGGAGTTGCTAATCGTTGACATTGCTATTGTGATTAAAATTGTAAAATGAGAACCATAGGAGCCCACTCCAAGCCACATATCACACCAACAATACTTATGTAAGCGTTACCTTTTAATGAATACCTTTTAAAAGAAATGGCGGGTTTACTCATTGGCTTGTAGTTGAGCAGTTCAATCTATGGGACATAGATGAAGTAAAATTTAATATATGATGATCAAATAGTATTTCAACCATGCTTTGTAAAGATAAAAACTTTAAAAATAGATTGAAACATTTTTTGTTGTAGGATTTTTGTTAACTTTGTCTAGGTGAATTTGCCAATAATATTCCTTTTAAGTTGCAATAGACTTTGATTTCAAGTTTCTTGGGAAGGAGCTTCAATAAATTGACATGAGAACAACACACAGTGTAATTTAATGTAAAAAGGACTTATGTTTATCTACATTAAGTTTCAAGAACCAGAAAGAAGCAGAGATCATAATTCATAAGCATCAAGGTTTCAACTGAACAAGCTTGTCAATTTTACGTAATTTGGTCTCTAACCTCAAGATTTAGTTGGCATGGTTGATACAAAGCAATATTAGTAAGTGATCATTGAAGGTAAAAGAATGATTTCAAATTACACTAGGAAAGGCTTCAGATCCTTTACTTATCCATTCTTTTTACTGCAATCATAACTAATGCTGTAGTTCCAAGGGCTTAGACAGAAGCAACTAAATTTTCTAATGCAATTTGTTTTCTCAAAATTCATATATTCAAACACAACCACAACCTGCTTGGCTTTGGATGCTCCTTTTATTTACCTTTCTCCCCTGAATCTTTATGGACCTAAACTGGTTAAAAATCACCAATGTACATATAGTATATTTAATTTTCTGATCTCAATGAAATAATATTTTTATGTTCTTGAATTTGCATCTGAACCAGACAAACATTAAAGTCACCAAATGCTTAACTTACAATCTTTGAATGGCTGTGCCTTTTCTGGCAAAAACAATATAAATTATTTCTTATATGACAGCAAGAAATTCACATCCACCAAGTACTCTATATGTTTAAAGACACCTGTATCCTATGTAGAAGTAAAGGTCAATTATGGTAAGGCATTGGTTCATCTTCCTCAACAAGTGTCTTCCTTCAATACCTTCTTGTCATTTGAACCACTTTCTTGACAAGTGGGAGTTAGGAGTTCATTTTCCAAAATCACTCCTTGGTTTTGTATGTAGACCCATTTTTCTTGAAAAAGGTAGAAAAACACAATCAAAGATATCTGAATAGTGAAAAGTATATTCCATATTTTTATTCCTTTTGATGTTTTTTCTTGGTAGGCTCCTAAACCAATATATACATTCAGGACTCCAAGGAATGAGACCGCAATGCCAAGTATCCAGTGTGCAAAGAACCACACACTTCTTCTTTTCGATCCCCTGTTAAGAAGAAAATAATTGTATCCTAATCATCATGTTCTATAAACAAAAAAAATTAAAACTATCACTAGAGACATGAACTGAAAAGAAGAAATCAGGAAGTTTCAAATAAATTTAGTTTCGATCTAAAAGGGATGAACATAGAACATGAATATTTTAATGAGAATTTTTTTTGTAGGGAATCAAATCCATATGTATGAATCACATTATATTTTTGGTTGAATGGTCTAAGTTAGAGATTTCAGGCCAGCATGGATAAAATGCTTAGCCAATAAAATCAGGCCTTTTGACCGATTTAATATAAGAAGGGAAACATTTTATTGCATTGATTTAAAATCAATTTTTTTTACCAAAATAATGTCATAAAGTTGCATATGGGGATGTGCTCATTCAAGTCACGCATAGGGTGTTGCGCGACTTACCCATTGGCGAATGCGCACCTGCCACATGGCGTCTGTTGTTAATCACACACCACCTCATTCACGACTTGAACACGCACATCCATATGTGCGACTATGGGTGAAACTGGGCCGGGCTGGCCTACGGCTCGGCCTACATCAGGCCAGACTTGACCAAGTATATTTTGTATAATAGGTCGGACTTGGGCCTTAAAAAAGCCTGTTTAATAAAAAAGCCGTGGGCCCACTTTCAAAAGGCCGGGCCTATAAGCCTACAGGCCGGCCTGTATTATACTATTTATTTTAAATAAAATAAAATAGAGTAAGTATGCCTTGAAGGAAAAACAAAAGATATAAATTTAATCAATTACAATTATTTATAACTTAATTATATTCGATTATATTTTAATAGAAATCTTACTTTATTTCTTATATAGGAGGAATCAACATCTCAACATGTTAGATTGTGTATATGAATATATTAAAAGATTTTTGGGAAAGGTTATACTTACTACAAGCATCATGATGTGTTTGTTAGATTCATGTAGTTATTTTAATTTACATAGTATGGATTTGTTTGTTGGATCTGATGAAATATATGTTATTTAGTTTGAGCATTTTGCTTTTGAAAATGACTTAAATGCATATTGTATGAGTTTTGTTATGATTCATGATTCTGTTTGGACGTTGAAATTAAGATTTTTGGTGTAGCAACAGAATTTGAGTATTTCGTAAAGTTGATTCATGGTTATGCTTGGAAGTTAAAAATTAACAGGCTAACGGGCCAAGCCAGACCATTTGTTTTTTTATAAACAGGTCAAGTCAAGCTAACAGTTAGACTCATACTAGGCTTGGGTCAGGCCAAATTGAAAATTTTTGGCGTAGGCTTGAGCTTTTCGGGACAAAGCTTGGTCCAGCCCAACCCACTTTCACCCCTATGTGTGACTTGTAGTGCCTGTTACGTGGCTGGTGCACCTTCACCCATGCTCAAGTGGCACATCTATCTCATGTGAACGCGCATACCCCGTGCATGTCTCATGACATTATTTTGGTAAATGTTTTGATTTTGAACCAATCCGATAAAAAAATATCCCTTTTTACATCACTATGGTCAAAAGGCCAATGAATCATGTAGATACAATTTTTTCTTAATAAAATGGAATTCAATAGTTTTACCTTTGTGGTCTGAAAAGACCAACTAGGACTTGCAGCCAGATAATACCATATAATGCCACCCCCAATCTTTGATGATTATTGTTGAAGAGATTGTTGAAATTTTTTATGGACATAATTGCTCCTGCTGTGGCAAGAAGTACAGCAAGCATCTGTTGCACAGAAATTCAAAAGTATATATCATATTAAAAAGGAAATGATCATCAGTGAAAGAAATATTTTAGATAAATTATTTATTTCTGTTAATAATGGAGTTATATGAACTTCTGGCCTTCATAAACACTTGTTTAGTACCATTGCCAACAGCATAATTTTGTTCTTCTCTTCACAGGCTGTATTTTAAAAATGAGATAGAGAGAGCTTGGAACCTATCATAACATAGAAGATTGTTTAATAAAATACATTTCTTGTATTCAAAGTATCCATTATAGTCCATGTCAACAAAAAAGGAGGCAATCACCCTTCCATGATCTTAGTAGTAACTAATAAGCTTTAGGCTAAATAAAATAACTAGAAATCTAGAATCTTGCTACTCGTATCTTCCCTTAACCATCATTGGAAGTGATTCAGTGGTACAACTGACCCTATTAAACTGGTTTAAAATCAGTATCAGATCCAAAGAAGGACCATGACAACCCTCTTCCAAAATTTTAACTAGTAAATTTGTCACTTAAAGGTTCTAAAATCACCAAAATTATATCTTAATCTTAAAAGCACTTTACTCTCTAGCTTATTTTGTACTCACTCTTATTTTGTTCTCAAAATTGTAGAATAAATTTGATCATCCACCAATTGACAAAATGATGTAACTTTAGATTTTGATTATATACAAATTTAGAGTTTAAAAGGTACAAAACTCATTTAAACCACTTCATGTTATATAGAATTACAGCATTTCATCCATATGGTTAGTGTTGCAGACTAATTTCATAACGATCCAGGTTCAAATGCTGGTCAACGAAAGAAAGATAATTTCACCCAAATTCTCAGTATTTTAATCTCAAAATCTCAACTTATATCGATTTAGTGTTAATTGCCATTACAATTTTAAGACTTTTACATGTAATTTTTGAAATATGTGAATGAAATAATAAAATAAGCTATTTAATGAAATAATATATATATTCTTGAAACTTTAGCCTATAATTGTCAATTACTAATAGAATTATGCATGCATTTGAGAAAGGTGGAGTTAACAGTAGATATAACCATTTTAAAATTTGTTTACTTAATATTTATTTTAGTCCCCACAACACACATTTTCAAGATCCATCCCTGTTCAAAATCATATAAAAAAATATAGGGAGGGTTATATTTACAAACTTTTTGTTTACAAATTTTTGCAAATTACACTATGTTCTCCCGGAAGTACATAGTGTAATTTGCAAAAATTTGTAAAAAAAATTTGTAAACGAATCCTTCTCCAAAAAATATATATATTCTTTTCCTATAGATCATCATTGGTTTTCAGTAGAATAGACAATAAATTCTTACCTCTGATAAACAACTATAATGTAAAATAGACTTCAGATTTACTTGCCTGCAAAATTGCATGAACATAGAATACAATTCTAAGCCTTCTTGGATTGTCCTCTCTGTTTGACAGCCTAATTGCAAGTATACCAATTGGCATCAAGAACCCCATGGAAGCCCACAGGAGAAAACCATGTAATGTAATTTCGAACTGAAGTCTAGGATTCATCTTCACATACAAAACAATCAGATAAAAAGGCTAGTTTCACAAACAATACTCATATTTATAAAATAAAGGATTTAACTTAATGAGATTAGAAATTAAGGCAAGTGGCATAATGAAGAATATGCAACAGGAAATGGGATACCTTAATATGGTTATCTTCTTTTCTTGAATGAGTGCCTATAATTTCCTTGTGCTGTTGGGATGAGCTGATAAGAGGAAACAAGATGAAAACAAGACTTGCTTGAAAGAGGAAAGCAATGAGCTTTTGTTGTAATCCCATTCTTCCTTCTTTTGTTGAAAATATGATCACTGGTGAACTCAATCTTCAGTGCTAGTGAAGATTTAAGGCAGAAAAACTAGAGCATTATGAAAACTGAATGTGCTTTCACATAGACTGGTAAAGGGGTTATCCTTTTCCCCTATTTGTCTTTTACTATCTGAGTATGTGAGGATTCTGAGCAGTGAGTACCCTTATCTTCTGTGTCAGATAGCACAACTAAACAGTTTTCACTAATTCAAGAAAGAGTGATATCAATATGAGGTCAGAGAAAACTCATCAGTAAGTGCAGGATAGAGAAAGAGTCTAACCTTCGTAAGTATATATTTAAGATTAAAGTGACATTGTTTCAAAGTAATATGTTAAAAGCAGTGGTTGTTGCATGCAAATTGATGGTTAGTACTTAGTACAAAAGACCTTAAAAAATAAATGGAAATGGTGATTTATCATGAATTGAGGTTTCAAACTTGTGGGGTTCACTTTGACAGGCTTTTTGAGTTTATGGAGGAGAATATGGACATACAAAGCAAAAGTATGTCAGATTTCAATGCGAGGGTTAAAAGTTACAAAAATATGAATATATATACAGAAAGAGAAAGTGGGTTGAGGTAGATTTATCTGTGTAAACATTATCTTCTGCTTCCCACTACTGAATACACATCATTATATCATGCTTGAATAGACTAGTTCACCAACTAAATACAGAGCCAATATACAGAATTTGACTATAAAAAGCGGGTCAATAAAATCAGATTCTAGATAGATTTTCAACTTTTGAATAAGAGCATCACTGCTCTTCATTTAGACATAACATTCTACTTCATATCACATCATAATAGATAAGTAAATGAACCTGTCCCTAGGGAATCTATTATCACTTACCTATTTTTGTGGGTGTTAATGCTGATTATACTTGATGTTTCATGTTATATCAAAATTTTAAGCCAAAACTTATAAACATTGTCGGCTAATTATATTATCATTTTCTTTTGGTAACTTCCTAATTATATTATTATCAGAACCTGCATATAAAAGTTTATCAGTATTTTTTTATATATATATTTTATTTTATGCGTGGATCTTATGGCACTGGCAAGTGACAAAAATGATATCATTGGATATGCAAAATATATAGCAGAGCCATAACTCGCCTATTTATCATTGTGAGTTCCAATTATATATCCCTACTTGCACTAATAACATAATATTATATTGCCCATGCCAGTCTGTGGTTCTGTGTGCTTGTGTGTTGTTCATTAATCATATATATAGATTCAATATGGTAAAAGACAAATCATTTGTCTACTATGTGAGTGGATGTTATTATAATTATGTGTACTTAATTGAAACCGAACAATCTAACTTAAACTAGTTTCTTTAAATAATTAAAAAAATTGTTAAAACTACACCGATTCATTGGTTAATCAATTAATTTGGTCGAGTCGTGCAGATTATAAAGGTAATGAAATTTTTCTCTATTAAATTTTTAACACAATTGCATAACCAAAATTTGAATTCAATGTTATTCGAATTCAATATTACTGATTAAACTAGAATAACTTGGTACCAACACAATTCAATTAGTTAATAAAATTTATTGTTTAGAAGTGAGAAATATCAATAGTTGATAAAAATATATTTAAATAAAGTAACTTAAACTCAACTGAGTCACCATGGTACGTATTTGACTATTTGAGCATGTGCAGAACGATGAATTTATGGTTTCGACATACAATATTCTTTTATTAGCGGTGATTTCTATGTGAATAGCATTTTTTTTTCCTATTCTCTCTCCGTGAACTTTATGGGGAATATTTTATTTCAGACTTACCACAATTCACAACATGTGAGTATGTGACACTGACTTCATCTTACTTTCCTGTGAGCGCTAGGAATAGAACAAAGTAGAGAATGGACAAGCTAGGGCCAAGGCATAACCATATAAGGTATATGTGGACCAAGACACAATACCCAATGCATGAATGCAACTTCCTTTATGAGTGAATCCAAGAGTGACTTTGGGAAAGCATATCCTCCTTTATGAAATACTGCACCATATTATAAATTGTAAACTATGAGTGCTGAGGATATTTATTTGCTAAATTGTCCTTTTAGAGTAATAGAGAAGTTTACAGCTCTGTTTTGCATGTGATTCACCATTAATTGCTCATTATTATAGTTTATTACTATTTTAAACATAACCCTTTTCAATTATTGGTTATCCATAGTGTCGCAAATGTATATTTGATTGATCAACACAAAAGAGTTCTTAAGTTTGTCACACACGGTTGGTAATCTTGAAGTTGTATTTTCCTCCTAAAGCTACTCCTAGCGCATCCTACGACCCCTAGCTTATAAGTAGGCATCCCGATATCAATGCTAGCATCCTAGAAAGTAGAAACCTCACATTCAGCCAATTAACATCCATAGTTGCAAAGAAACCGACACCAACACCTACAAAGGCGGTCACTCAAGTCTCAAAGATAACAGTTTTAGTTTGCTTAACAAGGAAGATTAAGGTGGATGGGCTAGATTTTAAGGGAATTGGACCCTTTTATTGGACCTCTTCAGAATGATCCAAAACAATAATTAAAAATGGTTTAACACTTCTTATATTGTAAGAGATAAATTTATTTCTTATACACACATAAAAATATAAGAAGCCTATATAAGTCCAAATGAGGAGAAGAGAGATAAAGAGAAAATATATGATCCACATACTTTTACGTATGTATTAAAGATAAATTTATCTCCTATAACATGAGAAACATTAAACTTTTAAACAAATTATTGGCTCAAGTTACTCAAATAAGCTTTTTTATTTATTTAATTTTGAGTTAAACAAGCTAGCAATGAACTAATTTAGATTACTATAATGATTGTTGTACTCAATATGTAAGAAGTGTGAACAATGTAGACTGTTAAAATGAAATTATAATATCTTGTGATTTGAAGGGTAGTGAGGGAGGATGAGTGAGTGCAAGTATTGTTGCTCTTTAAATTATGGACATTCCTGATTGCATTAGTAAAAAATATCTTGAGTGTTGGTTAATAGCATGTTATCAAACACAGGAATTATAGCCACAACTACCGTTGTCCGTTGGATCACATAAGACCTAATGGGTCCATGACACAGAGGTTCAACACATGAGCCCATCATAATCCTTTTTTTTTTTAGCATATGAGGTTGTTCAGATGTCACAGGTGCTTCAAAACAACATTGCCCACTAACAATCATTCCCTCGAAAGAAATATCATAAAATATTCCTATTATCATATGAGGTGATTAGTAAGATAGGAGTGTCAACTGTCAAAGATGATGATATCCTCAATTGATTTAACAACGTTTGGTAATTCAGTTATAAATACTAAAAAGGTAGAGTACATACAAATTTTATTAGCTTTTCGAAAAATTACATTCATTGTGTCCAGGGGTGTCTTAAGAAAAGTTAAAATTGATTAGAACCCTACAACGACTTGTTATTCCAAAAACATGATTAGTGTTGCTTTATATCTTATCATTGTCTAGTCTTTATATGTTCCGGGCTGAAAATTAGTTCATCGGGATGGGGAAAGGGTTTTCTTAATGAAACTTCCCTGCAATTGAAGTCATAATACTAATAATTTTTGGCAAGAAAATTGTCACTGATAGAAACTTCTTACTCTTCACTTTCTTTTTTCTTATTCAATTTCTCTTTTTTTTCCTCCCTTTTTCTCGATGAGACCAATTGTGACTCATATATATGATTATTTTTTCTCTTAGCATACAGCAACCTGTATTTATATATACATATATATACTTACTGGAATAATCCGTTTATAAATTTTTTATACAAATTACACTATGTATGATTTAGTGTATGACTGGTCTAGTTTGTAAAAGTTTGTAAACAAAAAAGTTTGTAAATATAACATTCTCTGTATACTTGTAGCAAAGTCGATAATTATAACTTCAATAAAAACTTTATTTTTTAGTATAACAATCCTAATTATTTTTTTGAGGCAAATAAAATCTTCATTAAAATTCCCTAATACATATATATGTAACAGCCCGTAATGATCCAAGTGTTTTTAAATAATGATTATGTGAGCAAAAAGAAATGAAAGTCCATATGTTTTACTAGCCTACCTAAATAATTGAAACAAAAAGTTAACATATAAGATGAAACCAAACCCTTCATCAACCTTTTTCAATCATAACTCAATATTCTACTAAACGCTTGCACACACCTCTTGGTCGTTGGCAAGTCTCTAGTTCGCTAATTACCAAATTTTAAGATAAGGATGAACTATTATTGAACCTTTGTGGCACAATGATTATTGTTGTTGAATTAGTTAGGAATTATTTGGGGATATCAAACAATAAAGAAACGTCATAGTGACTTAAGTTGTTTGTTTCAACTTTTTTTAAAAAAAAAATATTTATTTCTTTGAAATGAACTAATCTTTTTATTTATTTATTTAATAAATTACAGGTATTATCCATAGGGGCAATCTTATTCAAGTCAGAAACATCCACATCATAGTAGGACTAACTCTTTCAAAGAAAAAAATTTGTATTAAGGACTTGAACACAAGAACTTGCTTAAGTGGAATCAAGTATATACCACTTGAACCAACCCCTTTGGTGTAATGAACTAATCTAAACATGCGCTAACTCATGATAAGTTTGCAGCAGTGTTATTAAAAGTAGCCCGATTCGATAGATCGATTGAACTAGGAAAGTATCTCACTACAATTACACTTTTGGGATTTGAAATTCACACTTTAAGGGAAGGAAAGTGAAATGTTAACCGCTAAGTCAAATTATTTTGGTTGCCATATCACTTCTATTTATATATTTATTGTATATTATTATATAAATTCAATTTAAGTGGTTGAACCAATGACGCATTGACATGATATTTCGATATATATATATATATATATATATATATATATATATATATATATATATATATATATATATATATATATATATATATATAAATTGAGCCATATAT